GTGCTGAATAAATGTTGAATGAAATGGGCAAATTTCTTCATTCATTCACTCATTTATTCAATCAACTCCTTATATTAAGTGCCAGCTGGGTCCCGGGAATATAAGGGTACAGTGGGACATAGTCTAATGGAGGAGGCAGACACATAACCAGTAACCACCATTTGATTAAACTTTGATGATGTAAAGCACTAGGAGCTGTGGGAGCACCGAGGGGGATCCCTGACCTGCCTAAGCCAGTGGGACTGCCCGGAGAAAGATGACTAAGACGGGACGTGGAGGATGAGGAGTTGAAGCGGGAGGTGTGACAGCTGATCTGGAGAGGCACGTCTCTGGCATGTGCAAAGGCCAGAGACAAGGCAGATTTGGGATTCTGAAAGCTGCAAGTGGGTGGGGTGGGGGGTGGATGTACAGTGTGGTGGGGCAGTCCGAAAGAGGTGGAAAGGAGACTCACAGTCACTGAGCGTCAGTACCCACTAGACAGGCACGACAGTGATTGTGCCCATTGTATAGGTGAGGAAACTGAGGCTGGGAGAAGTGAAATGCCTGGCCTAGCTTTACAGTCTGAATGGGAAAGGCCTAGCTTCAAACTCAGGCCTGGCAGACTCCGAAGACTGCACTCTTCTAGAAAGGCCCCTGGATTGAGAATTATAACCGTAATTGGAGAATGAAGAAACTGAGGCCCAGAAAGGTCACAGGGCTCCCCCTGTGAAGGTGACTCTGTGCAGTTTAACAGGAAAACACTGGGGCAGTACGAGGGGTATGGCTTGTCTGAAGCCCTCCAGAGAGGCAGCAGGAGAGCTGGAGCAGGACACGGGAGTTCAGGCTGCTGTGTCTTCCCTTCCTGTTTGGGTTGGGTCTCCAGGAGTCCCTTCCTGAGCCCTGTGGCTAATTCCTTGCATGGGTCCTGGGCTGGTCTGCAGTTTCTATGGAGACCGCCTTCCTCCATCCCTGAAATCTCATTGTGACCAGTATTAAGAGATTAACTCTGCCCAGCAGCCCTCGCAGGGTCTGGGGTGCCAGCGTGGCTGCGGGAGCTCCCTCAGGGATGAAGAGGTTGCCCTCTGTGTGCGACCCCATAGCACCAGGAGGAGGATGTCAGACTGGGGCCAGGGCTTCCCCCGGGACCCCCCAGGTATGGTCCTGACTCCATATCTACCTGGAGAGGAGGACAAGGTGGTGGGAGAGAGAGGACTGCGGGGAGGAGTCCAGCTTTTAGAGCAGTGTTGAGACGTTGTAACCCCGGCCCTGAACCCAGGACCGCCCAGGGCCTTGATGGGAGGACCCCATTCTGATCAAGGCGAGATCCAGATTCCCTTAACAAGGCAAGAAGAGCCTCAGAGAATCTTTTAGGGGCTGCTCCAAAGCTACCTAAAGGCCAGCTTCCTAATCACCTTCATTTTGCACTGGGGAAACTGAGGCACAGAGAGGAAAAGTGACTTGTCCAAAGTCAGTGAGTCACTGGCCTGAAGCAGGTCAGGAAGCCAGAGGGAGCCCTGAGGTTGCCGGAGCAGAAAACATCTGGTTAAAATGGCATTGCCCTTCTGCCATGAATTCCACATCCTGCTTCCTGACCTCCAGGAATGGGGTCCCTTCAGCCTCCCCTCCTCAGAGCCTGTCCCATCAGCCAGGCCTCCCTTCCCTCCCTGCCGCTCCCCACCGCCTTGCCCTCCCCTGCCACCCACACAGCCTACAGCTGCCGGAGAGATCCTGGCAGGCTCCATTCTACTGGAGGGCATGGCCACCAGGCCCTCACTGTCCCATCCAGGGGACAGCCCCTCACTGGGTCACTATCTGGATGACTTTGGACATTTTTTGTTCCACACTTCAGCCCCTCTGTGAAGTCAGGGCCCGGACACAGTGGGGGCTCAACCCCACCCCACTCCCCCTGCCAGGCCTGCGTTGGAGAGATTTAGGCCAGGCTCCAAAGCTGTCTGGGCCAGGCTTCCTGGAAGTCCACGCTGGGGCGGGAAACAAACACCAGCTCTGGAGTCAGATAGCAAGAGTCCAAACGCTCTTGACTCAGCAGTTCGAGCCTCGGTTCCCTCACCTGGGACGGGGGCAATAACCCTTCCTTCCTCAAAGCGTGCTTGCCATTGCTGTGGGGAAGTCTCCAGGTTATGCTATGAAATGAACAAAGCAAGATGCAGGTCATTTTAAGAGCTGGAGGATGATAATATATGGTCTTACATCCAGCCAGGTCTGTGTCAGGAAAGTTCAGAGAAGGGTCAGCTGGAGTGAAGTGGGTGGGCAGGAGACGGCAGTGGAAGCCAGATTTCTCAAGTGCACCTTTCATATTGTTTTGATTTTTGAATCCTGTGAATGCAGTACTGATTCAAAAATAAATTTAAGTTTTGTACCAGATTGGAGAAAAATATCAAACCGTAAGAATCATCACTCATACCTCAATAATATGACAGGTGTGCAGCCACGATTGAGACCCATGTACCAGAACCTGACTCCGGAAGAGAAAAAGCCTGACTCCCAGTCTCTGAATCCTTGACCTAACAGGGCCCTTTATTTTAAGCCAATTTCATGTTGTCAGTAGGCAGATAATAGTCCTGGTACTAAGAATTGAGAGCCCCCTACATGCCAGCCACAGTGCCAAGCACGGTCTCAATAGCATCTTGCTGGATTGGCATTCTGACTTTATGAGGAAGCTGCCACCGTTCCCATTCTAAAGATGGGGAAATGGAGCCTCACTGAAGTTGCAACTAGGAAGTTGTAGAACTTTGATGCACACCTAGGCCTTTCCAGTTCCAAATTTCAGTCTTGGGGTCTCAATCTTGGCTGCATATCAGGATCACCTGGGAACTTTTAAAAATACTCATACCCAGCACCCACTCCCCACCAAGATTTGATCATTGGACTGTGATGGGGCGTGGGCATCAGTATTTTTAAGGGCCCCGGGTGATTCTAATTCACCATCAGGGGTGAGTCTCTGCTTTATGCTAGACAACTTTTCAAATGGGAAACCAAGGCTCAGGAGAGAAATGACCTTGCCCAAGGTCACACAGTGGCTGAAAGCAGAGCTGGGACAGAGCTCACATGGAGACTTTGTGAAAATAAATGAATGATGTCCCTCTCTGGGCAGCCAAAGCTCCTTGGTAAGTGGAACAAGGGTGGATTTCCACCTCCACTTGCCTCCTTAGCCAGAGAACCTTTGTGCAGTGAGCAACCTGTACAACTGTATGCAGTGACCCTGGCCTGAGTCTCAGGATCCCAAACACTTCATCTCAGTGACCTCCAGGCAGATCCCTGGAGCCCTTTAGAGCAAGAATTTGGGGAGCCCAAGGGTGGTTCCTGGGGTGTGGGTTCATCTCCCCACCCAAAGACCAGGGCCTGAGCTTGGCAGGGCTCCGCATCACCCTTCAGACCTGCCAGGGGCTGGGCAGGCTCCACTGAACTCCCAAAGTCACCTCTGCCTAGATAAAAGCAGGAGTATAACCAGGAGAGAGGAACATAACCAGGAGGACAGCAACAGCCTCAGCCCAGAAGTTACAAGCCACCTGGCAAAAGGCAGCCTGCAGGGAGGCCCAGCCCACACAGCCCAAGTCCTCCTGGCCTCCTTCCCGATCATTCTCTGGACCCTACTCTCTCCCCTACCTCTTGAGCCTTACAGTTAGCCTCTCCCATAATGCCCTGCTCTCCAGCCAGAGTAGCTTCCAGGCCTTTCTGCCGTCACCCACAATGTTCTCCACTTCTGGACGTTCCCTCTGCACAGGACACCACCTCCTCCAGGAATCCATCTCTGACCACTCCAGCCCAGTGATATGTCTTCTTTCTCCCACCTTCCAGGCCTCACAGTCCATCTGCACAGCCCATGTGTGCCTTGTGCTTATCATCATATTGGCCAGCTTTCATTGAGCACTTACTGTATACCAGCCCTGGAAGGGCAGGGTAGGGCAGGGTGGCCCGGAAGTTGGGAGCACAGACTCCAAAGCCCGATTACTCAGGGGGAATCTCAGCTTTTGCTTCTTATAACCTGTACAAGCTTCGGCATATGACTTAACCAGTCTGTGCCTTGGGTCTATAAGATAGTGATAAAAACATTGCCTTATGTCCCAGAGTGGTTATGAGGATTAACAAGTCAATGCACGGAAGGCTCTCAAAACAGCTTTGTAAACACAGGCCATTGTTATTACTGCATATATCCCAGTCCATTTCACCTTCATGGCAACTCTGTGAGTTAGGTGTTGTTATTCTCAATTTACAGGTGAGAAAACTGAGACTCAGAGAGGTTGAGTCAGGGCAGGGCTCTGCTTCTTTTTCTATGGCCTGATGCCTCCAGAGAGAGGACAAGGCTGAGATGGGTTAGAACTTGGAGCCTCTGGTTTGCAGCTCATGGCTACTCCTCAGAGGGCCCACAGGACACAGGGCCAGGTGACTTGGCCTTCCGGTGGCTCTTAGGCACCACTCTGCTTCCAGCCAGCCCTGGGAGGGAGGATGAACAGCCGGGGAGGGCGTTTCAGGGCCATGATGTTCACTAACATCCGGAACACATCACTGAGCACTAGAGAGATCCCTGTCTGCCCCAGCCTAGCTGGAGCCTCAGGGCATCCAGGGTGACCTCTGTCCCTGGGCGGGTCACTTCCCCCCTCTAGCCTCCATCTGCCCATCTGCATGATGAGTGAGGGGGTGAGGCTGGACCAGCAGTTTTCCGGTTCCCGTTATCAGCAGCCGGCTCCACTCTCAGATGAAATATTAAGGGACAGTGTCCCTAAGTGGTGGGCACTGGGTAAAGCGAGGCCTCTGCATATATTCCCTTGGCTCCTGGGATCTCAGAATCCAGTCTGAACGGCCTCAGGCCACATCCTCCTAAGGGCTCTCCTGGCTCTGACACTGCAGGATTCTAGAATCCCAAGCTCAAAGCTGCCGCTTCGCATCCCTGTTTGGTAAGCTCTCCCCCAGCTGCTTTTATCTCTCTTTGGTAACACAGCAAATTTGCTCAGGACCCAGAGCAGGGGAAACAAGCAGACTGTTGACTCTGGAGCAAAACCGACCCTTTGGAGAGCAGCAGAGGGGTTGCTGGCTTGCGTGGGGAGGCCGACGGCCTCTTGCATAACCGGGGTGGCCTCCTGCCCACCCAGGCCTTTGCTTTGCAGGGTTAGGGGTGAGGCAAACAGCAAACTCATGCCCAGTTAATTTTTTAAGGCAAAATCAACAGGCTCAGCAATGATTAGCAGGCAGGTAAGTTCGTCTTAATCATGCTGAGGACAGGGAGGAAGGAGGCTTCCAGGGGCCCAAGGATGGGGCTGAGTTATCAGTTAACCACATAAATGTTTCCTTCCAAATCCACTGGCCTTCAGCCCCAAGCTTCTTCATCTTCCTCTAGGAAGTACTTCCGTGGCATCCCAGTGAATGGCCATCAGTGACTGAATGAACAGACGCTCCACCTTCTGGGGTCTGTAGGAGGCACTGCCAGGCTCCTTGAGGGCTGCGATGAAGCAGAGGGGTCCTCACAGAGTTCATGGTCTTCTTGTTAAGGCCAAGCTCCCCCTGCTGCCGCTAAATGGCCTTGAGCATGTGTCTTCCATCTTCAGGGCTCAGTGAAGGGTCCTGGGTTGATCCCCTCAGGTTCAACCTGGAGCCAGCTGGCACTCCCCTGGGGACCTCAGTGTTTCCATCCACCAAATGGGTGAGTTGGCTGAGACATCCTGTTCAGTCTTGAAGTTCTGTGAAGTTGTGATGGATTAAGCCAACCTGATGGCCCGAACCCAGGACAAGGAGAGTGGGATAGGCCATGTTTTAGGGGTGCAAGGGAGAGAAAAGATGCCCAGAACAGGAAGGGGGCCTACCTGGTATCTGCTGTTGGTACCAGCAAGCGTCAGCTCCTGGCTCCAGGAAGAGGGCTGTCCTCTCAGGTGGCAGGCAGGGGTCCTTGTGAGGTGGGCTGGGGCTGCAGGGATGGCCTGGCCAACCCCAGCTGGCCCAGGACCCCTCCCCCTGGACCTTGAGAGCTGCCAAAGGAAGCAGCAAAGCCTCACCAGCCCTGGGCCTGCTGGCTGCCTGGACTGGAGTTTGGTCAGTGGTTGGGGACCTATATTGTGAGAAAGTGAGGACTTTGTCCACAAACTGGAATTTGAAATTTCAAAGGGGCGAAACTGAAGGGCCCTACCCCAGAGTGGAGATGGCTCTTGGCTTCTTTCCCCCTACGACTTTTGTTCTTTGTCTTGATAAGTCCCGGGTTCCCCGCACCGCAGCTCCCTGGGCAGTGGGTGGGGGAGGAAAGACAGGAGACAGTGGTGAGCACCCAGGGGAAGTGAAGACGCCAGGCAGCCTGGGGTTGCCGGTGTCTGGAGGAGGCCTCTGAACTTGCATGTGTCCTGGGACAGGCATCTTGGCTCCCCAGACCCCTGAGATCCCTGGCAGTAACGTGATGGTGGACCCACTAGCCTCCAGTGCTCCAGAATTCCACGGTTCTTTCCATGATTCCAGGAGGGAAGCAGCACGGAGGGAGTGAGGTCCTCAAGCTCTGGAATCAGACTTGAGTTCAAATTACAGCCCCTCCTGTGACATCTGTATGGCCTTAGGCAGGTCATTTCATTCTCTGAGCCTCGATTTTGTCATCTATACAGGAGGACAGATCAACTGAGAAGAGGGGAAGGTTCCTAGCACTGGGCCCAGCACAGAATCTCTCCAGAAACATTAGCCATTACTGTTATTTAAAAGAAGAATGATGTGGTCCAGAGCGGCAGCTCCCTTAACTGCTGTCCATGCCAGAGGCCTGAGCTCCCTGCCCACAGAGAGCAGCCTCCCTCCCAGACCTCTGGCTGCCCAGACAGCGCTATCAAAACACCCCCCCTCTTCCCCTTCCCGAGGCCCCCGTTTTCTCCATCTACATGAAGGAGTGGGGCCTCACGGTGAGATCTGAGGCCTCTGTTTTCCCCTGGGAGCTGGGGCATGTTGAGCTCGGGTCAGGGGCAGCGCAGAGGTAAAGAAGGCTGCAGAGTTGATGGTGTGCAAGCCAGGGTTTGTTCAAGGCTGGATAGGCCATCCCTGGAGTTCTTCTGTGCAGGGGTCCTGATTGCAACTGATTATGTGGCCAGACGGTCAAGGAGTCAACCACTAATGACAGTAATTACTGCTGTTGCATTGTATGCTTGCTCTCGGTCACTGAAGGCCCACACCATCCCTGCAAAAAAGGTATCAGCCCAACTGATGCCAAAATGAATTATAAGAAAGCTGGAACCTGAGGTCACAGAGCTTGGGAATTGGCAGTGCCTGGCTTTTGACCCAGATCTTTCTGATTTCAAGGTCTGTGGTTTATCCTTCAAGGGTGGGGCAAGGGTGGGGGTGGGTGGGGAGAAGGGCTAGGAACTTTATAGTTTTATCTCATTTCGTCTTCACAGCAAACTACAAGTTAGGTCCATTTTACAGAAAGAGAAACAGGGATTTTGAAATAATAACTCGCCTGAGACCACAGAGCCAGTAGATCTGAGAGGTGGCTGGTCATTTATAGGAGGGACGTGTGTCTGGACGATATTGTTTGGGGTCAGCCAAGGGTGGGGTGAGTCGTGTATGTAATAGATTACGCAAGTTCTAGTTCAGGGGTGGGTAGATTTACTTATGGAGTAGGTTGCAATTGGTGGAACACAGATGGGGCACGAATAGGTTTCTGGAACGTTCCTCATAGGCTGTGGGTCACCCATGTTGTGCGTTTGGTAAAGTGTGTATGTCATGGTTTGTGTACAGAGTAGCTTGTCACGTGCAGGCTGTCCACCTGGTAGTTCTTACATGTAACAGGCCATGCACGTGTCGTGGCTGACCCTAGTGACTCATAGATCCTATTTAACTAGGTCTAAAATGCCAACTATAGAGACTAAAAGTTGTTAGTTTTGTTACCGATGGAACTTTGACAAGCCAGTGATCCCAGCCCGCTTCTGGAAATAGGGAATTGAACCTCTGATACTCGACGAGATGACGGATGGGTAGACTTGTGAGGGGAGTAGCTGTGTGTGGTCTGTCCTGGGTGCCAGACAGGTGGCAGCACCTGTAGTCAGCCCTTGGAGGCCCCTCCCAGGGCTACCCCTCCTTCTCAGTGTTTATCCCTTAGTCAGGTCTCCTGCCCAGCTCAGCACTGTCCCCAAGGCTGCTGGAGACAGATCAGATGTCCCTGGTGGAGCACCGGATGAACCCGCCAGGAGCTGAAGTCTCTCCTTCAGGCCCTTATGGAATCTCTCTCTCTCTCTCCCTCGGGGTCTTCTCCTGACCAACAAACAACTGGGCCAGGATATTCACTCCATTATACAGATGGGAAAGTTGAGGCCCTTAGAGAGATGAGATTTAAACAAAATCACTTGAATAGTGACAGGCCTAGTTCCTAAATCCACATCTCTTGATGCCAAATCCAGCCTCTCTTCTCCTCCAGAACAATTGTTTCCCCCACCCCAACCCCCCACCCCGGTTATCTCAGCTCCAGGGGGAAGATGGAGGGAGAGAACAAAGCTACATGGCGCAGAGAAGTGCTCCTAATAGTTGGAAGAATATGAGAATGCCTCCACACACCCCCTGAGATGTGCCCCTCTCCCACTGATTTGCCCACTCATTCATTCACCCAGCCATTTACTCATTCGCTCATTCATTCACTCCTCCACCAACCCACTCACTCACTAACTCACCCATTCACCTACTCTTGCTCTTGTCACCATATCCCTCTGCCCAGATTTTCCAGCCAGCAAAGGAGGACAGGCTCCCAGGCTTCCAAAGTCTCAGATCCTTCTTCCTCTGCCCACCCTTTCCACCTCTACCTTGCGGCTGTACCTCCCAGCTAGATCGGGAGCTCTTGAAAGTGTGTAGCGGGCAGTGAGGGCTGGAGGTGAGAAGAAAAGACTGGGCCACAAAGACTGGGCCACTGGGCAGGCAGGACTGGCCACATAATGATCAGGGCCCAGTCCAAAGCAAAAATGCAGGGCCCCTTGGTGAGAATGGCTGAGCACTGAACCAAACACGGGGACCTGAGAGTGGAGCTCTGTGCATGCTCAGGTGGCTCTCTGACGAGCCCACTCCGGAGGGAGGAGACGGGTGGGGAGAAACAAGGGAGATACAGAAAGGAGGCCAAGGGGGCAGGAGGAGAAGAGGGCATGAACGCTCTCGCTGAGCACCACTTGTTTTTTCCTAACGCCGCCTCACTTACTATTCAAACCACCCTTTGAAGTTGATTGTGCATTTTCGAGACGAGGAAACTGAGGCTCAGAGAGGAGAATCATTTACCCAAAGTCACGATTAGTAGGTGGTAGGCGCCTGAATGTTAATCCAGGTCTGTGGGGCTGTAAGCCTTGTCTCCGCCCATTCTGGAGTGGGGTGGATGGGGAAGGGAGACAGGATGAGGTGACATGGAAATGGAAGATGGAGTCTGTCTTTACCTGAACAGCTGGGTGCTGTGGGGGCTGGTGGTAGCCCTAGCGGGGTCATGGGTGGCATGGGAGGAGAACCAGACATGAGTCTGGCCCTCTCAGTCCTTCCTGCTCCCAGAATGAGGATCTAGAAGATCTGGCACCTGGGATTTACATTTTTGATTCATGAGGCAGCTTTATCTCTGCAAGAGCATTGAGGGTAGAAGTCAGTGATTTGGGAAGTTATTGAATTAGGGCATCTTGGAGGTGGGCTGTCAGTGTCGGAGGGTATATGTTAGTTCATAAGCCTGACTTGGGGTGACGGTGACTTGGAGGGTGGCTGGGTCAGGGTCAAATGAGTGCTGGGGAGTTAGTGTGCCGTCTTAAAGAATTGATAACAGAATACTGGGGGGTTAGGGTCCCATCTGTTGTAATAGCACCCCGGGTGTCAGTCAGAAACCAACAAATAGACAAATCCCTGCGGCCCCGCCCAGCCTGTCCACCAGTGGGGGGGGCTGATTAACCATTAACCCCCACCCCTCCCCAGCGGAGCCTCCACCCCTTAGCAGAGGCTAGGCCCAGACTCCCGGCAGATCCTCCCAGAGGACGGTTTGAAACGCAGGAAGGAGAGAGGGCACCTGGGAGGAGGCAGTGGGAGGGCGGAGGGCGGGGGCTGGGGCTCGGCCCAGAGCCTTCGGGGTGGGCATCCTGGGCAGGGCAGGTGGCCGAGGTGTGGAGGGGGAGGATGCGCCTCTCCAAAACCCTTGTCGACATGGACATGGCCGACTACAGTGCTGCGCTGGACCCAGCCTACACCACCCTGGAATTTGAGAACGTTCAGGTGTTGACGATGGGCAATGGTAGGTAGGGGCAGGTGTGCCCAGGTGTTCCAGTTGGGGACAGGTATGCCCAGGTATAGGAGCGGGTCTGTGACATTCAATTTTGGGCTGGGGTGGAGAATGATACAGCAGGTTGGTCCCATAGGAGAGCACAGGTATTGCCAGGTGAAGCAGATGTGCCAGATTCTGTGACCTGAGGCATTCTGGGTGGGGGTGAAGGGCTGCAAGAGCAAATCTTCTGCAAAAGTAGGTACCAGGTATTTCTACTGGGCCCTTGTGGTCCCTGTTACCAAAGCTGTTCCTGCTCAGGGTGTCACTGGGAGCAGAGACTTGATGGTGAACTTCCTCTAGGCGTCTGGCTCCAGTAA